GGTCATTTATGTCCTGGTCCTATCTTGAATGGACTATTGCAATGTGCTGTAAATGGGGCTACCCTTGAAGAATATTCGGAAGCTTCTGCTAGTGCAGAATGTGGTCATGGGATCAATTCTGCGGTCCCCAAGAATGATGCATGTAACATCTTTGCTGCTGGAGCTACACTGGATGCTGGTTTGCTTCCGGATCTAATTACCTTTAATGTCCTTCATGGTATTGGGCCAGGTTACTTGAGGAACTCATCTCAATTCACTCACCTGGACAGGTAGGGAATGAATGTTATGGACGCTCTGGAATATCCTCCCTCCAGAGATTCACTCTCCTGGCCTCTGAAGGAAGAGTTTAAAGACCTGGTCCTACAAGTTTGCATGAACAGCACGCAACCCTGGTGATGGATGGTCCCATCTTTTAACTTATTTTATTCATGTTTTTATTGGCTTTTTTAATAGATGCATTACATTTTTATATGTTTTTAGGCTTTTGTGTTTTTTAACTATACACTTCCCAGAGTTACTAATGGTATCCAAATTTGATAAATGCATAAATATTGAAATTATGTGGAAAAAGACCTACATTGGATTCACTCATGGGTCTCTGCATGCAGTTAAACAGGGATTTTCAGAAATCCCAAAGTGTATGGGTCATAAGGATGGAGGGAAAATGTGCTTAACGGTTAATTGGTTGTGGTCAATTAGCAATGAAAAATTCAACTAAGATCAAGTCAGTTTGCAAGAGTTCTGAAAAGCTAAAATCCATAAAAAGATTTATGTGGGAACCTGCAAAAAAGTCAATTGTATAATGCTTAATTTGCATGTGTCTAAGTCCAATCTATATTTCAAATAGGGAGAGAATAACTATAGTTGCTCTTATGAAGTAGTTCATGCTTTTCATTTAGACATATTAATATTTACAGTTTCTGTTTTAAGGGAAGTTTGATGCGCAGTTCAAAGATCTATTCCCAACTAAATATAGAGGACTGTGAGACCAATCAAGTATTTTCACAACCTGAAGAAAAAGAGACTGCACAAAAAACATAGCTTTTAAAGCATCAAAGGTCAAAGACAAAATTTGCTCTTACCTCTTTTTCACAGTTGGAGCTTAATGTAAGCATGGCCATAGGGCTGTTGGGTGCACTGCTTCCAGTGCCCGGTGGCATAACGTGGTCAACGGGCTGATTTGGGCAAGGTAAGCTTAACGCCTGATTGTTGTGCTTATTTGCTAACGTAGTTGAGAGGTATTGTTTGACTTGTTGCCGTTGAGCTTGTTGGATGTGGTACTTGGTGGGGTTTTCCAGGTGAGTCTGCACCTGTGGACACAGAAGGAAAAGATGCAGCTTCTCATCAGTGTTTGGGAATCAGAATTTCTCTGAATATTGTGTTCATAGAGATTTACCCATCCTTTATCTAACACTGATTTTTCCCACCACATGAAAATAAAGTTACGTGTAGAAGAAAAACTGTATATTAATGTAAATGCATTGTTTAACAGACAGGAATTATTATATTATTATATAACAGACAGAACCCTGTACATTAATACTTTAAAAGTATCAGTAATTTATAAAACTTAAATAATAAGCTAATAACCAGAAAAGTATAAAATATACATTTCTCAATAAAATCAGTTGATACACATACACTTCATAAAATGCATTCCAATAATTGATGCATTTTATATACATTGGAGCCCACTGGAGTTGAACAGCTATAAGAAATGTGAATGAATAAATAAAAATAGAGAATGATATTCAGAAGTCTTTTTAAATGTCTTTGCTACTGTTACAAAAAAAAAAGAAAAAGAAAATACACTCTTAAAACCCTGAAAATGTACACCATTGTAGATACAATGCTTAAGCATATACTTTTTCATCACTTCGAAATTGATTTTATTTGACTCAATTGTTTTGTGACATTCAACTATGAATGCTACAATCTAGTCTATTAAAAAAAACATGATGCTATATTAAAAACAGTGCTTTCCACTTCTCTACAAATATCCATACTGCAACCACATTTATTATATTTATTAAGAAAAAATCCCTTGTAATTTTCTCTAAATTCCATTATACCATAATATGCAAAAATGCATGCAAGCATATATCTTTAGTCCCGGTAAAATAAATAGATTTAAGTAACTGTAAGTGAGAGAGTGCTTGAAGCACACAGGGGAAAAAAGGAAGTAAATAAGGAAGGGAGAGGGGGAGAAAAAAAGAAAGAAAGAAAGAAAAGAAAAGAAAAGAAAAGAAAAGAAAAGAAAAGAAAAGAAAAGAAAAGAAAAACTCACCTGATAATGATTATACTCAAGCATTTCCAGCATGGCATCTATATAGTCCTAGGAATGTCTGGCAACTAGTTGGACAATTTTCATTTTATTTTCTGTTCTATTAGTTCAAAGGCACAACGATGGACGAAGCATAAACAAGTTCTTCCAAATATGGCACAAGTAACTTGGACATTACATCTCAGGCTTCTAATAACCATAAACTAATTTGTTATGCATGTAAAAAACGGTTTGCACAGGGAACCTTTTTGTATTTGTGTGCAAATGTGTTTGTGTGTTTGAGAAGTTACGTAAATTTAGCTTGGAAATTTTGGTACTATTTTTTTTCCACAGCTTTGACGTCACACTTTTTTTCACAAACATAAAAGGCCCTTTTAAAGTGATGGGTTATCAAAGTCAGATTGATTATTTGCTTCAGGCCAAATAACTATTCAGCTTTCGTTCCAGTCACCAGCAAACAATGACATTTTTCTTTAGCAGTATGATTACTTGTTTTAGGCCACAGTTAAGATGACATTGCACAAAAACTACTGGGTCAATTTGTTTGCCTTATTCTCTACTGTTGGGGAAATATTGCAGTCTCTTGATGAGAGGATGCGGGCTGTTATCAGAGCCTCCATGTTCTCACAATGACTTACTGTCTTCAAAACATGGCTGTGCTATGCTTCTTACCATGCACTACTGTGTCTTATAAATTAAGGCTGACCTCATCATTGTAGGACACTACTTGCTTCATGTGTGCTCCATACAAGTTGAAGGGCTGTTTCACACAACAAGCTAACATCTCTGTCTGAGTTAACAAACCTTAATAGCAGTGGTAAAATTCATTTTTTTTACTACTGGTTCTGTGGGTGTGGCTTGGTGGGCATGGTGTGGTTTGGTGGGCGTGGCCTGGTGGGTGTGGCAGGGGGAAGGATACTGCAAAATCTCCATTACTACCCCACTCTGGCCCCAGCCAGAGGTGGCATTTGCCGGTTCTCCGAACTACTCAAAATTTCCGCTACTGGTTCTCCAGAACCCGTTAGAACCTGCAGGATTTCACTCCTGCTTAATCGTATAAAATGTGATCTAATGCATAAACCATATTACAGCTTAATGTGACATTCTGATACTCTGAGCCACAGACTGAGCTCCTCAAGTGCATGGAACCATTGGCTATTTAATTCCATG